GTATGTGTGTGAAGAGCCCATACACTCATGGACTCAACTAGTCTTTTTTGAGTGCCTAAAATGTACCAGGCACTTTCCAATTGCCTCAGCCTGGCCAGCTGGTGAACCTTCAGTGGTCATTCATCAGAGCCAGTTCTGCCTGAAAAAAAAGACCCCACTCTCTCTAGCAAAGGCCCTGCTCCCTCCTTTATGGTGGGCTCATGAATGGCCCTCAAACCATGGTTGGTCAACTAGATTTCTTGCTGAAGTAGAAAGCCTCCACCTCATCCACTAGATGAGGCATTGTGTTGTTTTTTTATATGCCTTATCCTGTATAACAAAAGGGTAATATGCAAATTGACCCTAACAGCAGAACCACCTGTTGCTATGATGCACACTGACCATCAGGAATAGACGCTCAACGCAGGAGCTGCCCCCTCGTGGTCAGTGTGCTTCTACAGGGGGAGTACTGCTCAGCCAGAAGCCAGCTCATGGCTGTTCAGTGAAGTGGCAGTAGCGGGAGCCTCTCCCACCTCCATGTCTAACTGCTTAGGCCTACTCCCCAGGGAGCGGGCCTAAGCCTGCAGGTGGACATCCCCCAAGGGGTCCCAGACTGCCAGAGGGATATCTGACTTCCAACTTAGGCCTGATCTCCCAGGCAGCAGGCCCAAGCTATCCTTTGGACATCCCCCCAAGGGGTCCAGGACTGAGCACAGGCTGGGCTGAGGGATTCCCCCGCCCCCCAAGGGCATGGATTTTTGTGCAATTGGCTTCTACTGTGTTTCCTTGAAAATAAGACATCCTCCGAAAATAAGACCTACTTACAGGTTTCCTTTTGAGTGAAATATAAGGCATCCCCCGAAAATAAGACCCCCCTAGGCTCTGTCTCAGAATGCTATTGCTAAACAAGAGATTTGGTCCACTGATTCTGAAAGAAATGGAGTCACAAGAAATTCACCAGGAAATTCAGGAATTGAATTATGGTGATGTTCCAGATGATGATGATGACATGATTGTCACTGAATAAATGAGTAAATTCTTGATACTGTAGAATTCAGTTTGTCTGGTTTGTGTTGACAACTACCGTACTACCGTACCGTATACAGGTAATAAATTTCCTTTATTTTCATTTAACAATAAATGTGAACTGTATTCTTCTTCAGGGAAAAATAAGACATCCTCTGAAAATAAGACCTAGTGCATCTTTGGGAGCAAAAATTAATATAAGACACTGTCTTATTTTCAGGGAAACAGGGTAGTACCATATAAAGCATATAGTATGTTTATCTTTTTGTTCCACATTTCTTATTTAATGTTTAGTTGATTTTGTATAAATTGTTTAAATTCCTTTACTTCCTTTTGAGTACACTGTATAGCAATTTTCTTTGTGTTTACCATAAAGATTAACATCCTAAAGTTATAATATTCAAACCTGCATTTATAGCAATTTAACTTCAATAACATACAAAATCTCTGCTCCTTTACAGCTGTTCCCACCCCGTTAGATTTTTTTATGTCACAAAATTGCATCTTTATACATTGTGTGCCCTAAAAACTAATAATTGTAAAAATGTATTAGTCTCCTAAATTACATAGAAAACAAGATTTGGGTTTACAGTAATGCTAGTTTTACACTAATAATTTTCTTTAAATGTATTTAGTCTCTTAAATCATGTAGAAAACAAAGTATAAACCAGTAACAGTAATAGCTATTATAATTGCCCATACTTTTTTTTTGTTAAGATATTTATTTCTCCATAGGGCTTTAAGGTACTGTGTAGTGTACTTTCATTTCACCTGGCAGTACTCCTTTGAGTATTTCTTGCAGGCCACATCTAATGGTCACAAACTCCTTCAGCTTTAGTTTATGTGGGAATGTTTTGAAGAACAGTTTTGCTGAAAAAAGGATTCTTGGTTGACAGTTTTTTTTCTTGTTTTTAAGAAACAAGATACATTTTTTTAATGTATCTAATCACAAATATTCTGATCTCCAGGTTTTGGTAAGAAATCTACAAATATTCTTATTGAGGATCCCTTGTACTTGGTGACTGTTTTCTCTTTTACTGCTTTTAAGAATCAATCTTTGTTTTTGGTTATTGAAAGTTTGACTTAAAAATCTCCGTGTGGATCTGAATTCATTTTACTTGGAGTTCACCTTAGTTGGAGGACTGGATTTCCAAGACCTGGGGGACCCAGGTGGCTCTGGCTTCCAAGAACCTGGTGACACAGCGGGGGGCTGGTCTCGTAGGCTCTGGAGAGACAAGAGGTGGCTTTCTTGGCTCAGAGGAGTCTGTCTGGGCTGGCTTCTGAGACACAGCTGGGGTCGGCCCCCAAGGTTCAGGAGAAGCAGCAAGAACTGGTGACTCTGGAGAGGAGGCTAAAGGCGGCCCCAATGTTTCTGGGAAATGGGAGTGTTTCTGAGGTTTGGGATTAATAAGAGTAGCTTTTACTGGCTCAGGAGATACAGGAGCAAGTTTCTGTGGTTCTGGAGAAGGAACTGGGACTGGTTTCTGAGATTCAGAAACAATAGGGATTGGTTTTGGAAGTTCAGGAGAAGAAACGGGTAGTTTTTGGTGGCTCAGGAGAAAAGATGTTTGTAGCTCTGGAGAAACTATTTTCCATCTCTAATCTAATTCCTAGTTTTTCCTCAAATTCAATTTATGAAGCAGGTACTATCATTTCAGGTGTGTTAGAGATCTGTGCTGTTTTAAACCACTAAGTTTAATGTAATTTGTTACAGTAATAGGAAACTAAAACACTATGTGAAGAGAAACAGGTAGGTTGAGAAAGAGGAACAACTTCATGGTTTAGCTCTAGGGTTGTAATTCAACTTAAAAAGTACTCCCCCCGCCCCTTTTCATTTTGCGATGCTTACAGATCAGAATTCTGATTTGTGATTAGATACATTAAAAAATAATAATTACATAGAAAAATAAGAAAATAAAAATGTAAAGTATCATATTGATTGGAGATGTATACTCTTGAATAGGAGGCAAAATTATCAATGTTAAAAAATAAATTATTAGGTCTTAAAGTAATGGCACAGCTCACCCTAACCACTGAGGCAAAAAGAGGGAAGTCAACAGTGAGATGAGCCAAAAACAAAGTGGTTTAAACAAATAGGGGTAAGGCCTCAAGGCCAAAACTATGCATGTCACCACCACTTACCCTAATATAATATCCTCTATTCTAAGATGATATTATGAAAAAGCCACACCAGATGACAAGTCATGGGATCTAGTTGGCACCATCTTGAGCTAAGAATTCTGTGAGAAGTTTGCACCAAAAGTGTGAAATCTTAAGGCATAAAGAATCTCTGCACATAATACAGTTGGTTTGAGACTGCAGGATTCAAAAGGGTTTCTGGATACTGAAGACCCTTTGTTTTTCCATTCCTAATTTTAATCAAATCAGTGTAACAAAAAAGACAACTGTATATGAAAGATATCTTACCTATACTACTTGTTGACATCGTGCCTTGAAGGAAACGTCAGAAATAGAAACTTGTTTTTGAGGTGCCCAGTGTAAATTGACAATTACTCAGTACTTTCCCTGCCTAACTGTGCTCACCAAAGTGGTAAATCTAAATCTTCGAAGACCTTCCCAGTATAACACTGTCTTCCCAACTGGCATGTTAATTTGTATGTCGTTAAACAAAAAACACTCCTGTTCAAAAATGTCCAGAAGCAGCTCAAACTAGAGCCAGTATTTCAATCTGGCTATACATCAGAATCCTAACAGCATGAACTGTTTCACATTGTTTAAATGAAGCAGCCAGGATAATCACTGAAATTAAAACAACCTTTAATAAATTATGTGCACTGATGAGATTCTCCACAAGGAACAACTAGTATAGTGATTCCTTAACTTACCTGAACACAGAACTTTTAGGAAAATTCTGCTCCAGATATGAAAAAAAATTAGTATGCTGAAAACAAGTGGAAATAGGAAAGAATAACAGAAATTGGACATTTTACAATGAAAAAAGAAAACACACACATGAAGATGTTGGTGACATGAAAGACTTTGTTTTTAATTCGGTTGATACACATTTGAACAAAATATTTTAGAATAGAATAATCCATGAACAGGCTCAAGGTATTTACAGTAACAACTTTAAAAACAAAACTGGATACATTCTCAAACAGATACGTCTTTATAAAATTTTCTCTGGTGTATCTGGAAGACTTTCAATTCCTACTCGTTACCCTGACGTGAAGCTCCAACAGGTGGCACCGAAGGCCCAGGCGTAGGAGGCACATCGCTAACACATTTGGCAATTAAGGATCATCTATTGGTGTGAGCTCACAGGGAAGTGAAGGGCCAGATCTTGGGATAAGATACAGAATGGAAGACTCCAACGCAAACAACTAAGGACAAGACCAAAATCATACTCACCTTTCTCAGTTTCCTGTGGGAGAAGGCTGCAAATAGTTTTTTATACTTACTCAATTTTCTCCCTTTTAGCAGAAAATCAGCAACCCTGAGACTCCAATTTTCCAAGACATAAAAGTTAAGAAACATCTAGAAACTCTCTGTTCAAGATTTATAAAAAATGAGCAAATAGAAACTTGAAAATAACTTTTATGATCTGAAAATACTTTTAAGGAAAAAGAACAAGATCCCTCAAAAATGTCTTGCCAAATTCTTAAAACATTCCAATTAGTAATTTCCATAGTATGAAATGAGTTTCACAAAAAAGATACACTTTTTAACTAGATTATTTTAATTTGAGTACAACTGGCTCTTGCTTGTTAAATGAATGCCTACATCTTCATATTATTCAAATATACTTAAAAGAGATTAAATATGTTATCTATCTAGCATATACAGTCTGAATTGATAGCAACATAAACAGAGACTATGAAAAAGATAACAAATGTCTATTCTGTGAGCACTACTGAGACAAACATACACCACACATAGCAATATCTACTGACCCAACTAGGCTATTCAACTATACTTTCAACAAATGATTTCAACCAACAATTTGTGGAGCATATAGCCACTGTTTTCAAAAATCAAATCTGCTGCTCTTCTAGTGGTGGTTCAAGAGCCTCCATTAGCTTTTTGTTTGCCTCTTCATTGTGCCGACTTTGACAATGAGTTAAATGTTTCTTAAAGCCTCTTGGGAAATTTGATTCAAAATTACATCGTGGACATTTAAGTAAACTTTGCCCATGGGCGGCTACATGGTTTTTAAGGAGAGATTCCAAAAGAAAAGCCTTTCCACAAATTGTGCATTTGTAAGGGCTATGGACATTGTGCTTATTAACCAGATGATGCAAAACAGCACCTTTCTTCATAGCACGACAACAACAAATTTTGCAATAATACTTTCCTTTCCCACGCTTCATATATTTAGCAATCTCTTCTTCGGAGATAAAAGCCTCCTTTTCTTCAGTAAACTGCAGTACATTTTTGGACTGCTCTGGACTAGTTATGTCCATTTTGTTCTCTTTACTGAAATCAATAGATTCCACATCAACCTGCTCTTGATCACTGCTTGATTCTTGGCCCTTACTATCCATTGCCTCCAAATCTGTTTTGAGATACTCACTACTACTAAGCTCAGCATCAGAGTTCTCTTGGTTATCTTTCTTGAGCTTCTTTGAGGCAGGAAGTAAAGTGTCTTCTAAGAGTTTCTTAGGTGTAGCTAGTAGTTCTTCCTGAACCAACATATCACACTTTTGATCATCTATGGCATCTGTCTGTAGTTCATCTCCCAATTCAACTGCCTTTTGAGGTTCTGGGAACATAGCAGATTTGGAAAGTTCAGGGAAAAGGGTATGTCTCCGGGGCTCTGGATAAAGAGCGCGCTTCCGTGGTTCAGGAGAAGCAGGAGGGGCTGTTTTGGTAGGCTCAGAAAACAGGGCGAGTTTTCTAGGCTCAGTATCAATAGAGAGAACGGGCTTCCAAATATCAGAGGCTGCTTTAGGGGACTCAGATGGCCCAGAAGGTTTCCTGGTCTCAGGGAAGATAGGTTTCTGAGGTTCAATAAAAAAGGAAGACTTCCAGAGATCAGGAGAACCACCACAGGAACTTTTCTGGAACTCAGGAAAATCAAGTGAAGCAGGAGGAGTCTTCCGCTGATCAGGAGAAAGCTTCCAAAACTCTGGAGATCCTGAGGGTTTTCTGAGCTCTGGAGATCCTGCTGGACTACGAATGTCGGGGGACAATGGGGGGCCTGGTTTGCGAAGCTCAGGAGACAAGGGAGGTCCTGCTTTACGGAGCTCAGGAGACACCGGGGGGACTGCCTTCCAATGTTCGGGTGACAGGGTGGGAGCTGTCTTTCGCAGTTCTGGTGGGCCGGACTTCCACGACTCAGGAGACGCGGGGGGAGATTTCCAGGAACCAGGTGAGACGGACGAAGACTTCCAGGATGCAGGGGACATCGATGGAGCTGGTTTCCAAGGTCCAGGTGATATAGAAGGAATTGGTTTCCAAGGTCCAGGCGACACAGATGGAGCAGGTTTAGCTGGCTTCCAGGGTCCTGATGCTGAAGGACTGGATTTCCAAGACCTGGGGGACCCAGGTGGCCCTGGCTTCCAAGAACCAGGGGACACAGCGGGGACTGGTCTCCTAGGCTCTGGAGAGACAGCAGGGAATGGCTTCCAAGGTTCAGGAGACTCTGATGGAGATGGCTTCCTTGGCTCAGGGGAGACTGTTCGGGGTGGCTTCCGAGACTCTGGTGACGCAGTTGGGGACGGCCCCCAAGGTTCAGGAGAAGCAGCAAGAACTGGTGACTCTGGAGAGGAGGCTGAAGGCGGCCCCAATGTTTCTGGGAAATGGGAGTGTTTCTGAGGTTTGGGATTAATAAGAGTAGCTTTTACTGGCTCAGGGGATACAGGAACGAGTTTCTGTGGTTCTGGAGAAGGAACTGGGACTGGTTTCTGAGATTCAGAAACAATAGGGATTGATTTTGGAAGTTCAGGAGAAGAAACAGGAGTAGTTTTTGGTGGCTCAGGAGAAGGAAGAGAAGGTGTCTGTGGCTCAGGAGAAACAGGGACAGGCTTCTGAGGCTCCAGGGAAGTAAGAGGAGTAGGTTTGGGTGATTCTGGAGACAAAACCAGGCCAAGTTTCTCTGTTTCTATGGAAAGGGCAGATACAGATTTCTGGAGTTCTGAATTAGGGGACATTTTCTGGTGTTCAGATGGAGGAGGGCTTTTCACAGAATCTGTTTCTTTGTTTAACTGATTTTTTGGTTTCTCATTCCATTTCTCTGGGGATGCATGTTTGGATGTGATATGATAGTATACATTAGAGTACATCTTGCTGGTGAAGAAGCATTTATGGCAATGAAATAACTTTGCACTTTTCTGGTAAAATATCATTTTACCTAACCCACCAGCATCCATTTCATCACAAAATTCTGGATGGATGGTGCCCATGTGGATTTGTACATTTTCATAATCCGTGCCTCTGAAATTACAGTGGTCACACTCCAAACGTACTGATGGTTTACGAAGTTCCTGAAATACTTCCATTTTTCTTTCTGTTACAACATACACAGTTATACTCTTTAAAAACTTTCAATAGTGCTGAAATAAAGTAGAAATAAATTATTTTCAGTGAACATAATCTTGAATGAACTGCTATTCTAGCCCATTCTAAAATTGCATAATTTTAAGCATAGGATGGCGCACATACGCATTTATTCAATAATATACATATAAAAGATTTATAAGGAAAAAAATGTAACTAATTTTTAACTAAGCTCCAGGAATTCTGCTAGGTTTACATTACATCATTCTATTTAATCTTCTTAATAATCTGACTCAAGTATTATTTTGTTCATTTAGAGATGAAAAACCAGAGGTTCAGATTAGTATCTTAACCAGGTTATGAAACTATTAGTGACCCAGAATTATCTACTACATGTGCTTTACACCTTGAGTCTAAAACCCCAAATATAATAAATAAATAAATAAATCAATCAATCAATCAATCAATCAATCAATCCCCAAATATCAACAAGCCATCTGTGCACAAAGCTAAGAAAATATCAAAATTCAAGTTAGGCTATTTAAGGCTGAGCAAGAAACTTTAAATCTATTTCAGAAACCACTTGTTAAATTGTTAACTATGAAAAAATCATAAGACTTTTAAAAATTTATGTATGTATTGATTTTTTTGAGAAAGAAACATCTATTTCTTGATCCACTTATTTATGCTGATTTTTGTATGTGCCTAGACCAGAGATCGAACCCAAAGCCTGTTGTATCAAAATGATGCTCTAATCAACTGAACTACGCGGCCAGGGCTCATAAGATCTTTAAAAAAAAAAAAAAAAAAAAAAAAAAAAATCAACGTATTTTATATTTTATCATTTATTTAATAAACAAATTAGCCCTGACTGGTTTGGCTCAGTGGATAGAGTGTCAGCCTGCGGACTGTAGAGTCCCAGGTTAGATTCCAGTAAAGGGCATGTACCTTGATTTGTGGGCACATCCCCAGTAGGGGGTGTGCAGGAGGCAGCTGACGGATGTTTCTCTCTTATTGATGTTTCTAACTCTCTATCCCTCTCCTTTCCTCTCTGTAAAAAAACAAACAAACAAACAAAAAAACCAATAAAATATATTTAAATAAATAAATAAATAAATAAATAAATAAATAAATAAATAATTTTGTGTTCCATGCTTTTCTAAGGGGGTGCCTTGAAATATGGTGTCTACATTGTAGGGATGTAAGAGTGTAGAGGGCAAATAGAGAAAGCTGTCAAGGAGACATTCAGAGATTTTGAATAACATGCCATCCTAGGCTTAAAATTATTACTTGAGCAGAGATTCTACCCTTACCAAGCAAAGGGCAATTTAGACTGAGGACAGCCTAGGGGCAGGAACTTGGCTGGCAGAAAATAGAACTTTTTAAAAATTTAAGTGAGTCTTTTTAGGTGGTAAAAGTAACAAAAGCTCAGTTAAAAACATACTCATTCCTATAGTATCGGATACTCACACAGTATCACTCCCCAGGGGTAGCCCCATACTTACCTGTCATTGAAGAAATGGTCTATGTGTCACAAACGCATAAACCCATTCTATACAAAAGGGATATTAAACATATTGTTTTGCAATCTGCTTTCATTTAAGGAAGAGTAGGTGTCTCTCTGGCTCAAAAGAAATTACAGGGCCAGGTTTCTGAAGTTCCAAAGCAAAAAAAGTAGTTTTTTTATTCTAGAAACAAAATTGGGCCAAGTTTCTGGCAGGTAGAGGTTTCAGGAGCTCTGCTGAATTAGAGCGCATTTTCTAATCGAGGACATTCTTACATACAGAGCTAAGCACTGAATTACTTTGTACATATCTTTGACTGTAAGGGTACTTCTGAAGGGAGAATCCCTAGAAATGGATTACCATGTTCAAAGGCTAGTTACATTAAAATTGACACATTGTACCAAACTCTCAAAGTCACAGCACTATTGCATACCAACTAATAGTGTACATATGAGGGACAATTCCCCAAATTCCTCATCAACACTGTGTATCATTAAATTTCTAATCTTCACAATTTCTTAGGTGAAAACTAGTATCTCACTACTGTTTTAATGTGCTTTTTAAAAAAAATGAGAAATGGATATTTTTTCTTGCTTATTAGCCATGTATATTTCTTTTCTAGGATATGCTTTGTCCATTTTTCCTAATTATTTATAAATTGTCCTGGTATATAAAAGAAATCAAACTGTTAACTATACAAACTTTTTCCTAACCTCTCAAGAAGTAATTCATATACAGTATGGAGAAAGTACTTTTCTCATTTCAAAGCAGCACTTACTTAGCCGCATCTGTCCTCTCTTTGCATAATGTATAGTCCCATTAACAAAACAATTTTCTTCCTTTCCTATATGCTGCCCATCAACTTTTACCAGTAGTAACTCATGTAATCTATTATTAATCATCAAAAAGCTCAGTAAATGTATAATTTGAGGCTTAGATTATAAACTTTAAGGGCAAAGCACTTTTTCTTCTATTCCCACAGAAATGTCTGAGGACACGGTTTTACAGTCAGGAAAATTTTTTTAAATGCTTCTGGCAAACTTCTCAAATGAAGAACAAAACAAAACAAAACAAAACCACATTTCATAAGTGGACGTCTCTAGCACAGTACAACAGTAAGAGTGGGTCTCCTTTTTGGCACATACTCTTTCCCGATTGCTATTCCAGTCTTGTGGTCCCTTTCAATAGGCAAAGCTCTGCAACCTCTTCTTATTTCTACTTTCCATTGATCTATATCTCCCTTTCTTGCCTTTTTGGAAAGTTTATACTAACCCTACATTTTATAGCTGTTCCTGCAATTTAGTGCCTGTTTTTAACGGATACCATTTAGCCTAATTCCACCTGCCCGTGCCTCAAACATCCTCCAGTCACCTCAGCTTCTTGGACTACTTTTGTACTCACTTGCTGTCTGCCAAATCGACAGTTCACCAGCTCCCTCACCCTTCATGTATGGCCACTCAGTAAAAGGCATCATCCATTCCCATTCCCTTTTAGTTTGTATTAAACCATGATGACTCCTCAGATTCCAGAGCATTCATTCTCTATCTTTCCCAAATGGCCCTCCCTCTTTCTCTTGCTACCAAAATGCTTCTGGCCAATCTCAAGGTCTCTATTACTCACGCCTGCCTACTATTTAAGCCTCATTATCAAATTCTTAAAAAAAGAAGAGAGGAAGTGGAGGTGAGAGCTAATCAACCATCTACCTTGTATGCATATATGCATAACCCATGGACACAGACAATAGGGTGCTGAAGGCCTGGGGGGTGGTTGAAGGGGGGCGGGTATTAGGGTAGGGCGGGGAGTAGGGTAGGGGGGAAGGCGGTCAATAGGGGAAAAAAGATGACATATGTAAAACTTTCAACAGTAAAGAATTTTTTAAAAAATTAAAATTAAAGTCTATGTAAAACCAAATTTTTAAATGTTACAGAATTTACCTCTCAAACCCCAAAGTTAGCACATGTTCATACATCATTTTATATATATGACTGTGTATGCTTTTATAGAGGTTTTCCTTAAGAAATCCAAGCATCTTTCAAAAATATTCTCATTGTAAAACATTCTCCTAAACATTAGAAAGCAAGAAATGTTAAAAAAAAAAAAAAAAAAAAAAAAAAAAAAAAGGAGAGGCAGCCCCAAAGAAATACTGGGAGAATAACACTTCATAAACCCAAGACAAGTACTTTTAGAGTGAGAAAGAAATAAAGACCAATATGCTTCTCCCTAGTAGACTTACCAGCTCTTATAAGAATTCTTTAAAAAGTTCTTCAAAGGGCAGCAATTTACATGGCTTTTTTTAACTAAACCACAGAAAACAGCCTGGAGTACATGAAGGACAAAGATGAGAAGTTGAACCTGAAAATAAACAAAATAAAGGGCAATAAAAATCCCATCTCTGTGAAACCTTGTGCCTCCTATAATAGAATTTTGCCTATTTCTCTCACCATCCTGTCCCCCCTAACCCCCAACAGTGAAGAGTCCAATCCAGTCAGCCTGGATAATTATTTTAATGAAATGATACCAATTACTATCCACAACACCATCCCTGTCTAATTCCACTTTTTAAAAATTTTTTTAAATTATTTATTTTATTTTATTTTATTGATTTTTTTAGAGAGGAAGGGAGAGAGATAGAGAGCTAGAAACGTCAATGAGAGAGAAACACCGACAAGCTGCCTCTTGCACACCCTCCACTGGGGATGTGCCCGCAAACAATGTACTTGCCCTTGACTGGAATCGAACCTGGGACTTTTCAGTCTGCAGACCGAAGCTCTACCACTGAGCCAAACCAGTTTTGGCTAATTCCACTTTAATAATTTACCATGTATATAACCAAGCCTTTCTCTATCCTTCTCTCTATTCCCTACACCATTTCAACTACTTTAATTCTGACACCTTATTTCCCTGCCAGCCACTAGTCTTCCTTCCTTCCAATCCATTTACCATACTGCTACCAGTCATCTTCCAAACATAAAAACCTAATGTGACTTGCCTGTTCACAATTTCTCCAGGTAAATTCTAACACCTATGGCACAAAATTTGAACATCCTATGTAATAAAGAGGTAATATGCAAATTGACCCTCACACCTTTGTGTCACAAGATGGCTGCCCCCACATTATTGCAAGATGGCCACCACAAGATGGCCGCCCCCCCATTGTCACAAGATGGCCAGCAGGAGAGGGCAATTGGGGGCAACCAGGCCTGCAGGAAAGGGCAGTTGGAGGTGATCGGCTGGCAGAGGAGCAGTTAAAGGTGACCAGGCAGGCAGGCAAGCAAGTTGTTAGGAGCCAGCAGTCACAGATTGTGAGAGGGATCCCAGCAGTCAGACATCCCCCAAGGGGTTCCAGATTGGAGAGGGTGCAGGTTGGGCTGAGGGACACCCCTCCAGTGCACAGATTTCATGTACTGGGCTTCTAGTTGTATATAAAGCTTTTCACAATCTGGCCCATGATTACACTGCCTTCTTCAAATATGACTCACCTGTAATTCCCTGAGCCT